CTCTTCTCTTTCCTTCTGTCCCTTGCTCTGTGTTTTCCCTACTTCTCTCCGCGGCGTCGCTCTCCCTTCTCCTGTTCTCTCGCTCCTCCCTCCCCCTCCTTGGTCCATGCCAAGAACATCAGAGAGATGATGGTGGCGATGGTACCGCCGACCATGAAGGGCTTTGCGCTTGCCCCAGGGAACGCGGCAGTTGTCGCTGAGCATGCCAACATAGGGCTGCACCAGGGTGCCGGTGAGAGGTCCAGCAATCCAGACCAAGGCCATCAAGGACTTGCTCAGACCGAGCGACAGCAAGTAGGGCGAGCCATTGGACAGTTCGACGGACCAGGCAATCTGTAGGCCTCCGATGCTGATCGTCAGAAGTATAAGATACCAAACACTCTTGGTCTGCTGCGAGTCGTCGCTGTCGCCGAGGACGGTATTCCCGTCGCCCAGGTCATCGTCGTCCGGGCCAGGGCGAAGCAGCGGTGAGCGTTCGTTTGCCATGTGATCGCAAGTTTGGTCGAAGGAGCCGTTTCGCGGCGTGCTGCCCGTAAGAGTCGGCGTCAAGTTGCTGTTGGCTTGCGAAGGAGGTTCGCTCTGGTTGACGGCAGGTGTCGGACGCGCTCTCGAGGGAGGTTCGTTCTGGAGAATGGACATTTCACTGGCTTGCTTGATTGACTGGCTGATTGATTGATCGATTGATCGGGTTCAATCTTGAAACTTCAGAGGCGGCGATTCGAAAGAAAATGATGTAATTCCTGCAGTAATGGCCTTGGACGTCAGCGTCCGATCGAGGCGTGAGGCATCGGTCCTGAAGGGCGGGGTTGCGCGGGTTTGGTTTGACACAAGGTGAGGTAGAAGAGTGGTCGAACACGCCAGATGCTGTTTGACCGACCAGCACGGGAATTCCGTGATGAAATTGACGGTTTCCAGGCAAAACGGGTGGGCGAGTCCTCAATGATCTGTCAGATCCGGCGGGCCGTCATGCGGTCAAGTCAGAGGACGCCACGAGACACGAGACGGGCTGGGTGATTTGGATCGCACGCGGAGCGGTTGGGAAAGTCACGGAGGGTGTGCGTCATTCGTTCCAGGGACCGGTGCCTGCAGACTGCAGCTGGACGTGGGCGAATGGGGTGGTGTAGGTCCGGAGAAGAGGGTGTGGCCACGTCCTTGTGTCTGGTGCTTGAGTGAGGTGAGCTTGGGTTGCTTGGATGGAGTTGCAGGTAGATCATGCGGCACTCGTGGTTCCTGTCCTGGTGAGTGCAGATGGGTGTTGGTGATGGAGGTACTGGTGGTGGCACTGGTGGTACTGGTGGTGGTAAGTGAGCGTTGTCTGATGGCAAGTGGCAGATGGCCGAGGAGGAAGCAGCGAGTGCTGCCCGAGGCTCAGCTCGTGACGAGGCCAGGTCGGAGAAGGCGCAGGCAACGGTCCGCCTGCTCGTGAGAGCTGCGGACCTTTCAGAGACTCAGCACCCACCCAGTACATTGTACATTGTACATTGTACATTGTACATTGTACAGTGATACTGCCAAAACCTACATCATACAGTGCGAACGCATGGACAGATAGCGATAATGCGGGCCAAGTGCGGGGCTTGCGGGGCTCTGTCGCCCGCTGGGACACAGGGACCTCAGCAGCTCAGGTACCTTTCCGCTGGAACCCTCCCTGTACAGTCAACCTCGGAGTGCCGGCCTGAAGCGGCCGTGGTGTTTGGGTGCTCGACCCCCCAACCCCGCTTATCTCTCTAGCTTGGACATGTCGAGATCGCAGTCGAAATGTTGTATCAATTCTTGACTATCTTATTACCCTTCTCGCTTCGTCAAGGTCCTGGATGATCAATTCAGCCTAAAAATGACACGGTCATTGGCCCGGAGAAATGATGGTGAGTACCTCATTCAGAGCCCCCGAGCGGCTGACGGGCTGTGCTATTTCCCAATCATCCCCCATTCAGCCTCTCATGTCGTTTGAATCGATGAGACGATGAGACTGATTGACTGGATCAGGGTGCTATGAGTGCTGCAAGAGGCGACTGCGATGTGATAAGACGGAACCATCATGTTTGAAATGTCAGAAGAAGGGCATTCAATGCTCTGGCCAAGGCCTGCGCTGCCGATTCAGCAGCCACATGGCCCCAGCGACTTCGCCTGCCTCCAGGGCAAAGAAGAAGAGTGCATCACGAACATCACAGTCACCCGTACCATCGAACCCCTCTTCGTCTTCATCAACGCCCTTTACCGCTTCCTCTCCTTCAACCTTGGGGTCTCTACTGGACCCAGCCAGTCAAGAGACCATGGCTTTGGTGCCGGTACACGCTTCCACGCTGGATCCGGCATCCTTTTCATCACTAGCCAGACGAGACTTTATGCCTCTCGGAGCTGCTCCAGATGAGCCGCTGCATCCTCAGGCCAGGATGCTGATGAGCCACTGTACATTCCTTCAACTCACTCTTCTCTCCTGCCTGGCTGACGATTGCTGGTAGTCTGTGACCACATAGCTCCAGTCATGGTAGTCCTTGACTTTGCGGGAAACGGGTATCGAGATGTCATCTTGCCCCTGGCCATGCATGACGATGTGCTTCGGCGAGCGATATCCGTCGTGGCAGCTTTCCATCTGGCGCAAAAGGCCCCGCACCTACAACAGACGGCTCTGGCAGGACACCAAGCCATTGTACAGAAGTTGAGGCGAGACTCCCTCATGCTCCGCCCAGATCAACTCTTCACGCCCTACACCTGGGCCACAATTGTTGTACTTCTCGTCGGCGAGACCATTACGGGGGCCGACAACTTTGTCTACCTGCTCGAGATGCTCACATGCCTGCGGCAGTCTCCTGAAGCCATCGCGGCGCTGCCTCTCGCCCTGAGGGACTTTTTCGTGCAGCAGGTCAAAATGTGAGCGATTTCCAATGCCCAAATCACACAATGTCACTCACAAAACCGAACAGGTTTGAGTTGTTCGGCTTTCCATTATCGAATGAGACAAAAGGCCTCGATGTCTTGCAGGAACCGCCCGATAACTACATGGACTTCATCGCCTATCCGTCTCTTTCCCCCGGCTCCGAGCTTCAGTCCAACGTGCAGATCATGCGAGGCGCCATCCGAGATGCCTGTGAGCTTTACAGGACGCGCGCCCTTTCCTCGCCGTCGACAGAGTACTCGGTGCCACTCGTCGAGTGGCTTCGCCAACGAGTTCTCCCACTAGATGCCCACACCCCTGGTGCACATGCGCTGGTGTGGCCCTACTTTGTCGCTGCGGCAGAAAGCAGTCTTCCGGAGCACCGCGAGTTTTTCTCGGGGCGACTGAAAGATCTTCACCAGTTTACGGGATTCGGCAGCATCACCACCGCCCTACAGGCTCTCGAAACAATATGGGCCATGCAAGGGATCAAAAGATGGACCGAGATCATGTCGAAAGATTTCCATGTGCTCGTCATGTAGCTTTATTTCTTTTTTACACAGTGATATACCCCAATTAAATGCTTCCCACCGTCACAACACCCTTCTGCCCCATGATATCCGTCTTTCTTAGTCTTTGATCTAGCATACTCCGCCCATCATGCCAGTTTGGACTTCAGCGGCGTCTGACGCGATTGCGCAAGGTCGTTGCGCACCGCCAGGCCCGCGCGCGTCCCCTCCTCGATGGCTCCGTCGATGAAGCTGCGCCAGCCCAGCGCCCAGTCCGAGCTCGCGAAGAAAATGTTGCCCTGGCGAGCGCGCATGTCGCCCAGATGTGTAGAGAGGAGCCCTGGCTTGGAGAAGAACCTTTGCAGTCGGTCAGTCGAACGGAAACAAAACGTCAGCACAGTGGCGAGACTTACCAAGCTCCTTTGGCGAATTCGTCCTTGGACCAGTTGTGGAAAACCTGTGTCCCGCGAGGTCAACCGGTGCAAACGAAAAAAAAAAAGACGTCGATAGTCGAGGAGAAAGTAGAGAACTTACGATGCGCTCAATGTCCATGGGCACGAGGCCCTGCAAGGCCTCCTTTGTCTTTTCAATGTTTTCGTCTGGTTTGAAATGCTGGTGTTGGCCGCCGAACGCAACGATGTGCGTGTTTCCCGAAGGCGTCTCGCCGTCTCCCAAGGCATAGAAGAGGCCGTTGTGAGGATAGCTGATGCCCGTGTACGACCTGAGGTCGCGGTCCCTGACTTCAGCGTGCACCTTGACGCACTGGTTGACGTGGCCCGTGTCCGCCGCCGATTTCTTGCCCACCGATAGCGGGGGGTCGAAGGCGATGCTGTTGAGGATGTTCAGAGGCATGGCGCTGACCATCCTCTGGGCCCTGTATCCTTTTCCCTCGCGGGTCGTGACGTGCACGCCGGCAGGGGTGTTCTTGACCGCCGCTACGGGCGAGTTGAAGGCGTACGACAGGTTGCCCGTGGCGAGCGCCTCCTGGAAGAAGCGGATCGCGAAGCTGGACTGGCCGCCGTGGAACTTGTACTTGACGAGATACTCGATGCAGCCTTCGTACGAGTAGGCGCTCAGGGCCCACCAGTGCATCATCTCGAAGAAGCTTGTCGTCTCGAGGGTGCCTCCGCTGCACAGGAGAACGAATGTTTCGACGGCGAGACGCTCGTTGGGCGTGAGCGAGTCTTTAATCTGCGCCAGGCGGTCGGCGACGGACAGTTTGTCCAAGGCGAGGGCTTCTGGGGTGAATTTGCTCGTGTGAGGGAAGGGCATGATTTTCTTTCCACATGCGCCGTCGACGTTGACAAGCTTGCGCAGACCCGACTCCATCATTGCGTCCTGTTCGCACGGGCAGTCAGCAGCGAGCATCCTAAAGGGGGTCCAAGGGGGGGTATCAATATTACCTCTTCATCGTGTGTGAATTTCTGCGTGCCTTGTTCGTTCACCAGATGATACCGGTTGACGCCTCTCGAGAAGTCGTAGGATATCTCCAGCTCGTCTTCCATCCCGTAGCGCTTGATTTCCCGCCAAACATTGGGCTGTCCCCAGAAAACCCAGGTGCCGCCCATTTCGAAGGGATATCCTCCAATATTGGAAGACCAAGAACGTCCACCAATGCGATCCCGTCCCTCCAAGAGAAGGACCTTGAGCCCTGGCAACTCATCAGTACACACAAACGCAAAAGAGACGCATCATGGTAATTGTGCGTATTACCTGCAACAGCTGCATCTCGTGCTGCAGTCAAGCCGCAGTATCCGGCGCCTACAACGACAACATCGTAAACAGTGTCTTTTGCCGCCTCTGGCAGGTTTGACGGAGGCTGAATGGCGCCAATGCAGGGAACCCCGGCTTTCAAGCCGTCCTTTTCGGTCCAAGAGAAGCCGTCTCTCGACGACATTGTAGTGCTCGCTTGTTTTCAGTGATGGAGGATACCTTCGAGATGGTGAAAAAGAAGGCAAATCAGGTAGAAGCTTCGCAATCAAACGCGCGAAAAAAAAAATAGAAGACCATCCTAATGGGATTGGTTGAAAGGCGGCTTATGTACAGACATTGCTACGTGGATTCAAGCAAAAAACGGACCACGAGGGGCTGCCCATCATCACATCCATAAATTGATAAACGGGCCCTTGCGATTGACGTTAGATCTCTCTTTCAGGTATTTTCTGGAGACCCTCCTTCCCAGCTGCAGCAGTCCGACACATCAGCATTGGCGTCACCGCGGCTCTTGTCGATATCGCCCCGCTCGCCGTCGCAACCCGACATACAACGCCTACTTATCTGGGATCTCGCCCACCCGGTTATCAACGTGTCTTCGACAAAGTGCTCGAGAAATTGCCTGTTCAGTTCTAGTTCGCCGTGGCACGCCTGTACCCCGCATTTTAGCTCTATCACTCAAGCTTCGAAGCTAAACAGGGGCGAGGGGCCCAGCGCTCGCATTCATACCCGATCCGGTAATTCCTCGAGCGCTCGAGGGAGCGATAACAGCAAGCGAGGGGCAGTGGCTGGGCCTCGAGCTGAAGCTCCAGTTCCCCGGATCATGCGGCAGACAAGGGGTACTAGCAATCTTGACATACCACCCCTTTGGTAGGATAAGCATATCTCGACTGGCTGGCGACGCTACCCGAGCATGACCTCCTTGCTACGACGGCAGTGCACTGATAGATAGCCGCGATACGTATCGAGTCGTGGCTGATCACGCGGAGAGCACGCCAAACTGCATACTTGTGTGCCGCCATGCTGGGGGACAAGTCGTCCAAGAAGCTAGCCTTGATCATCACGGCGGTCGTCTGAAGGGATACAAATGTCATGGCTGGCCCCGTGCCACGTTCCTGGATCACCCATGGCCCATTTCTCAACATCAGTGCTCTTACATCACAAACTCGAATCATTCTTCCACGTTGATCTAGTTTCTATAATACTGGGGGAGACATTGTACTGATTATTGACATGGCACATCATGGCAAGGCTGGCCATCTGCAGGCCCGTTTATCGGGCCTCAACATGGTGGCTATGGCATTTGCCATTCTCAAGTAAGTCCACTGCGATCGTGTCCAAGTGCAACAAGCTCATGATATCCCGAAACAGTACATGGATAGCTCTTGCCGGCTCGATAGGCCTTGTGTTGCCGTCAGGGGGTCCGGTGTCCCTGTTGTATGGGTTCGTCTTCTGCGTGATGTGCAACTTTGCGCTCACTGCGAGTCTCGGTGAGCTGGCAGCCATCTGGCCAACGGCTGGAGGTCAATATCACTTTGTGTACGCGCTCTGCTCTACAAAGTGGAAGCGGGTCATGGTACGTCCTTACTTCAGTCCTCGAGCAAAATCTTATCTGACACGGCAATGCAGAGCTTCTGGGTGGGCTGGACCAATATTGTTGGCTGGCTGATTGTCGTGACGGTTCAAGGGTTCTTTGCAGGTACGTTAAACTGAAAAAGCCAGACAGCCCCAAGAGAGAGCCGCTGACATCCCATGTAGCACTCTTCATATGTGCTGCCTCTGTTGTGGCTTCGGACGGGAGGTTCGTTGTAACACAGTGGAACACATACCTGATATTCCTGGCCATCCTGACATTTGCCACGGCGGGCAACATCTGGGGTAACAAGATCCTCGGTAAATGGAACGACCTCGCCCGTAAGTCTCTCTGTCCTCTCTGTCCGTGATGCCGCAGGGCTAAAGTACGCAGTCGCCTGGTCCATCCTCGGCGTTGTCGTTATCAGTATCGTCCTCCTGTCAATGTCCGACAAGTCGAGCGCGGAATACTTCTTTACATCCTTCAACAACGAGTCTGGGTGGTCTGACGGCATGTCTTGGATTCTTGGGCTGCTCCAATCTGCTCTCTCTCTCATTGGTTTCGACGTGGTTCTGCACATGACAGAGGAGATGCCGAACCCCTCGCGCGATGCTCCGCGGGCCATGGTGTACGCCATTGCTGTCGGAGGCGTAACGTAAGTCCAAGTGTCGCTGAATACCCGCCAGCATTGCCTCAAGATATGACGCGAGACTAATTGTTGAATCACAGAGGTCTGGCATTCATCCTTGTGATGCTCTTCTGTCTCACCGATCCGGCCACTGTCCTTGCCTCGCCAACAGGCATGCCCATTGTCGAGCTCATCCTGCAGGCCACAAAGAGTCGCGCCGGCACATGCGTGTTGACTCTCATGCTGGGAGTATGCTTCATCAATGACTGCAACGCATCCGTCACCAGCGCCAGCCGCTTGCACTTTGCCATGGCGCGAGACAAGGGTATTGTCTTCCCGAACTACTTCTCCCACATTACGCCTGGCCTCAACGTCCCTGTGCGGACGATCCTGCTGTGCTTCGGTTTTAATGTGCTGTTCGGCCTGCTTTACCTCGGCCCTAGCGTTGCGTTTGGTGCCTACATCGCGTCGTGCACTATCTTCCTCAACGTCTCGTATGCGTTCCCCATCATCACGCTCTTGGTCAGGGGGCGCAGCGTTTTGGCCGAACATCAGCAGCACGATACACCGTTCCAGCTTGGTTCATGGGGCCATGCCATTAACTGGGTGGCGGCGCTCTTTGTTGTTGTGACCTCTGTGGTGAGTTCCCCTTTTGCTCCCTCGACATCAACTGTAGCTAACCGATGACTCGCAGTTCTTTTGTTTCCCTGCCTCTCTGCCCGTAACAAGCGATACGATGAGTAAGTCTGGTCGAAAGCTTGGTGCACGATATGCGAGGTGAAGAGCGCTAACGCGTGACGTAGACTATGTGTCAGTCGTGATCGCCATCTTCGTCGTCGTCAGTGCGGTGAACTGGTGGGTGTATGGACATCGGTTCGAGGGACCTGTAAGGTTGTTGATTTTCTCACAATGACATCCCGATACTGATAAAGGTGCTCTCTTGCAGAAATTCGAGGTCATCATGGGCCAGCACGGAGATGGGCCACTCAGCAAGGCGGATTCTGAACCAGGGTTGGAGACGATTGAGGCCAAGAGGTCGCATGCCGAGGTGGTTTGAGGGGTTAGGGACGAGGCGTTCTCTAATGCTGTGATGGGAGTTCAGTTTCGGTAGTGTAAAATGTTCTCATTTATGATGTATATGGGATAATCAAGATGAGGGGCAAATACGTTTCAAGCTCGAAGCCTGTAGGGACGTGATTCTCGTGAGCAATTGTGTCTGGTTGACATTTGACGTCCGAAGTCAAAGGTCAGGTGTTTCTTTCTCTGAGGGACAGACCAAAGGACAGACCAAAGAGGAAGTTGGTGCAAACTCGGGGAAGGACAGATCCGGCCCCCTTCCCGTGAGTGAAGGGCCGAGACGAAGAGAGGAAGAGGCGAGGTCCGTTCGGGGAAGGCAGAATCAACGCGACTGCTTGCCCTGCATTTGCATGATGTGTCCATCCCGTTCAAGGTATCGGTACTTCAGCGACCTGCCGGTGGGCACCAGATGGGGCAGGTTGATCGGCCGCTATGACTAAGGGGCATGTATCGCAACTCCAAGTACCGTGCGGCGCCCAGCAGCTGTCACAAGCTGCCCCTCAACCAATCACTTGACCACAATCGCCGCTCTCCGCCAACAGGGCAGGCCAAGGCCAACCTTGGCAAAGGATCTACGCGCAACAGCTTGCGTCTGCAATCTAAAGGGTACCTTACCTAACACCTGTGCAACCTGTCGACTTCCCACCATTTCGAGCTTCAACACGCTCTTTCGAACGCCAACCTTGTCCACCTCGAGTCTACCCCCCTTCAACCCACTCGGCGCGCTCAATCGATCTCTTGCGACCTGATCTTTTCGACTGTTGATGAGCGCCATCTCCGCCAAACGGCGCTCCCGTCTGAGCTCTGCTGCGTCGCCTCCATCCCACCCCATCTGACCATAACTGGCCCATCGCGACAACGCCGCTGCCATGCTCCCCTCGTCAGATATCGCGGTCCATGCCGCCGAGGTTGTGAACCAGATTGCCCGTACGTTTCTTTCTTGTACTAAAAACGCTTCGACTAGAGAGTGACTGACCTTGCGACCAGGCCGTGCGGCAGCTTCTGACGAAGACTCGGAAGGTACGCGACCAGCCTCCCTCTCTCGTTGCCAACCGATGCGAACAACGACCGACTGACCCGACAACGTAGGCACCGATGGAACACAAAAAGATCAATTGACAGCATGGGCCCTTTTCATCTCCATATTCCTCCTGATCATCGCCTTTCTTGCCAGTTACTACCTCCACGAGAAAAAGATCGAGGCAGTCCACGAAACCGTCATCTCCATCTTTGCCGGCATGACCGTTGGCATCCTCTTGCTCATCGCCTCTGACGACTCGGTACGAAAGCTAATCAGCTTCGATCATCAAATCTTCTTCAATCTATTACTGCCTCCAATCATTCTCGGCGCAGGATACGAACTCCACCAGGCCAACTTCTTCCGCTACATCGGCCCCATCGTCACATTCGCCTTCGCCGGCACGTTCCTCTCTGCCATGACTATTGGTATTGTGCTCTGGTTCTACGCCGTCAGTGGCATCGAATCTATCAGTCTGGATTTCGTCGATGCCATCTCGGTCGGCGCGACGTTGTCCGCCACGGATCCTGTCACTATTCTCGCCATCTTCAACACGTACAAGGTCGATCCCAAGCTATACACCATCATCTTTGGCGAGTCTCTGATGAACGACGCAATTGCCATTGTCATCTTCGAAACGGCGCAAAAGTACAAGGGGGAATCGCATACAGTCAGCTCTCTCAGCTTCCTTGAGGGCTTTGGTATCTTCTTCCTCGTCTTCTTCGGAAGTTTGATAATCGGCGTCCTTGTCGGTGTCGGCACCGCTCTTTTGCTCAAGTTGACTTATATCCGGCGTTACCCCAACATTGAGAGTTGCCTGATCGTTCTCATCTCCTATGCGACGTATTTCTTCTCGAATGCGACACATTTGTCTGGTGAGCACTTCGCAATGGGATGCTGATACACTGCATGACTAACGCTGTCTAGGTATCGTGTCTCTTCTGTTTTGCAGCATCACATTGAAACACTATGCCTACTTCAACATGTCTCGCCGCACCCAGCTTGCCACGAAGTATTTCTTCAAGGTTACAGCGCAGCTGTCAGAAAACTTCATCTTTATCTACCTGGGTCTTTCCCCCTTTACCGACAACAGGCTGGAATTCCGCCCGCTTCTCGTCATTGTCACTGTGCTGGCTGTCTGCGCCGCTCGCTGGGTGGCTGTCTTCCCCCTCTCGCGCGCCATCAATGCCGTGATACGGTACAAGGCCCGGCGCCGTGGCGGTGACCTGAGCGACGAGCTGCCGTACAACTACCAGGCTATGCTCTTCTGGGCTGGTCTCCGAGGAGCTGTCGGTGTCGCCCTCGCTGCCCTACTGACTGGCGCAAACTCCTACGCATTGAAGGGCACTGTTTTGGTGGTTGTCATGCTGACTGTCATCATTTTTGGCGGCACTACCGCACGCATGCTCGAGATTCTCGGCATCCAGACCGGCGTTGTCGACGAAATCGACAGCGATGACGAATTCGACATCGAGACCTCTGGTGGCGGCAACTACTACAAACGCTCTGGTGGTGGCGGTATCGGTTACATCCCCGGACGCAACGGAAGCCTCTCTCTGCAGAACCTTGGCAACCAAGGCGGTGGCCGTGGCTCCTACGTCTCCGGTCATCACTCTCCCAACCCTATTCGCCGCACCTCCAGCCTTAGTCGCAAGACGACAGAGGAGCAGGCCGGCCTCCTGGGCCAGACACCGCACGACTCGGACCTCGAGAGCGACATTGACATCTCCGACCTGCCGCCACCCGCCCAGCGCGGAGCCTCACGCCAGGCGAGCCCCCTCAACATCCAGTCTTCCGAGGCCACCTCCTCGTTCCTCCCGCCTGATCCGACTCCGGCGGCAGCGCAGCACCATCATGTCACGGCCGGCTCGGCGATCCGCTCGCTGTTCACCACCGAGGACGCCTCACAGCTGTTCCGCCAGCTGGACGAGGACTTTATCAAGCCGACACTACTCCTAGACGGAGGCCACGGCGGCAGGTCAGGAGGTCATAACGGTGGCCCGTCGGGCGTGTGAGGGCCATGTTTCGGGGAAAGGGACCATGGGATTTAGCTCCTCTTGTTGCTCCGCATCATGACTATGCGGTTCCGACGAACAGAGACGCATGTGCAGTCTCTGACGAAGAGGGGTTATTCAGACGAGAACCCAAGCCCTTCCATTTTTCTGTTTGCTGATATGGACGAGCATCATGTGGCGTACGGCGTTTCTATAGACCTTGACTTCGTGGCAGCGCTGCGGCGCTGCCAGATCTCTCGTACGTGTATGAAATTGATTTTTTTCTTCTTCCATTGCATCCTCGACCGTTGTGCGGCAAAGCCGTGCCGCGTTTCTCGCAATGACATGCATGTATCACATGGGAATGAAGCTCACATGCATTGCGCTCTTATCTGTGGCCACAGTGCACCATAACTCAGCACATCATTCGAATTCAGTCCAGCGGAGGGGAAGATTGC